GCTTTTAAAAAAGTGTTTTTTTTTAATGAAATGAGGAGAAGTGATTAAATAAAACCTGATAGTGTTTGAGAAAAAAGTGATTTTGAAAAGTAAAAGTGGGTGGTGTTTGGTAAAATAAGTGCTTTTTGTGTAATAGAAAAAGTAAAAGCACTTTTGACGCGGAAGCCGAGAAAAATAAAAGTTGTAGTGTTTGGAAAAATAAGTGTTTTTTTAAAGCCAAAAGTTGAGAAGTGATTTTTAAAAGTAGTTGCAAACCAACCCTAAATGGATGCACATTCAATTTTAATAGTTGTAATGGATTTATTTTACTTTTTAATTTACTTAATACTAGTAGTATTTAATATTATTTTATTTGAATATTATGAACTGGTGATTTTTCATTTTGAAACCTAGACCTTTTTCATCTCATGTTTCCGTTATTTGTATAGTTTTAAAAAGGAAAGAGGTAAATTTTAAAATCTACTTAGTACTTTCTACTCCGTATTTGTGATGAATGATCGAATAATGTACGGAGTATAAAATAATGTACTCCGTACAAGTGAGTGTTTTGTAGATATAGTGTAGGGTGATGGAGTGTGTGTATAGGACATTACCTGTGGTTTTCTACCATTAATATAACCTCAATGGTATTGTTGGATTATGTTTGTATGAGTGTGTGTTGGTGAAATATATGAGTGTTTTGTTTGATCTTTTTTGGAGAAAATAAATAATTAAAATATCCCAAACTTTGAAGGTGTGTGACATAAACACCCCAAACTTTCATATGTAATTTAAATACCCCAAATTTTATATAAAATGTTATTTTAACATCATGACCATGCATTATTTATTTCAAAAATGTAAATTTGTTGTGTTAATTGCATAATTTAAAATAGAAAATTGAAAACGTTGCAATTATATAGAGTGAGGGTAATACTATTTATTTTACAATTAAAATTTAGAATGTTAATTGTATCTTCATTAATGCTAAAATATTTTAAATTATAATATTAACACAAATATTTTGAAAGAAATAATACATGATCATGGTGCTAAAATAACTTTTTATATAAAGTTTGGGGTATTTAAATTACATATGCAAGTTTGGGGTGCTTACCTCACACCCCATGAAAGTTTGGGGTATTATAATTATTTTTCCCATCTTTTTTGGAGCGTGGAATAGAAAGTGTGTTGCTATATGCCTATATCTCCTTTTTTTTATCATCAAAACATGTCTCTATTCATATCAAAAGATTCAGGATCATTACATCAAGCAAAGGGAAAATAAAACAGACACCAACTGAAACTCCAACAACTACGACTGTAACCCTATGGTGAGACATTGAGACGGTCACCCTTGAGAGAACAATACCAATCGCTAACCATGTAGTGGGTTTGACACAGCCAAAACTATTCTCATAGATCCAACTATACCCAATGACATAAAGAAGCAAAAAACTCAAACAAACTGTCAAACCCAACAACAAAAATGGACCCAAGAAAACAAATAACAAACAGATAAAAACTACAAGAAAAACGTTCACGAACTCTAGCACCTCGTGCATCCCATGGTGGTGGTTCAGGAGGAGGTCGTACCACTGGTACCATGTTAAATGATCCTCCATGACCTTTGGCTGCCAAAGACCATGCATCAATCCTCCGTCCCTGCATAACCAAACTCATCCCTGCTCCGTGCGACCAGAGTAAACGTATAGGCGGCGCCGATCTTCTCCAACGACGACGACAACGCCGCATCCTTGAACCTTGATGTAACACTTGAGATTTAATATAAACGGATTAATAGTACTACTCATACCAACAGAGGTGCATCTCCTTTTAAGGGAGCTCATCACCCAAGAACTCCCAAGTTAAGCGTGCTTGCACGGGAGTAGTCTTGGGATGGGTGACCCCCTGGGAAGTTTCTCAGGGCGCGCATGAGTGAGGACAAAGTGCGTGTAAAAGGCTAGTGGCGGTTTGTGAGGACAGTACTAGAGGTCTGGAGTAACTACCTCGGGTCCTGCGGGGCCGGGGTGTTACAGGTGGTATCAGAGCAACCCTGCGACAGTGTGCTGATCCGTTAGATATCGGGCAAACACCTAGCAGGGGAAAAGTTTCTGGGATTTGATTGAGATTGGTTTAAGGGCGCAACGAGGACGTTGCGATCCTAAGTGGGGGTGATTGTAACACTTGAGATTTAATATAAACGGATTAATAGTACTACTCATACCAACAGAGGTGCATCTTCTTTTAAGGGAGCTCATCACCCAAGAACTCCCAAGTTAAGCGTGCTTGCACGGGAGTAGTCTTGGGATGGGTGACCCCCTGGGAAATTTCTCAGGGCGCGCATGAGTGAGGACAAAGTGCGTGCAAAAGGCTAGTGGCGGTTTGTGAGGACAGTACTAGAGGTCTGGAGTAACTACCTCGGGTCCTGCGGGGCCGGGGTGTTACACTTGACCACAGCGCCGATCTCCTCGAGCCATGACAGCAAATCTGCCCTCCTCCACCGATCTCCGCCCTCCGCGTCTGACCTGGACTCCAGTCGAGCACCAGCGACCAAGGTATAACAAAACCGATCTTCGACAAAGTCGAAATCGGAAAAAAGCTCCAGCGGCCGACATAGTCAAAGCCCTAGAGAGAAAAACTCGTGATCGCTCTACCTTAGCCAAAAGCAGACCATTGCTCCGCGGCCAGATATGCGAACAAGAACAGCCGAACTTCGATCAATATGATCGAATTCGGAAAAAATGCCTAGAGGAGGCTGCCCTAGGAGAAACGATCTGGAACCCCAAAAAGGCCGGACTACGAGAGTTAGAAATTAGAATAGTTTTTATGGTTAACAATGATGCACATATGCCTATATCTCCTTTAGATCTAGATATTCTTTCTTTATTTCAATATTTGCGGCTAAGAATTATTCATATTTAGTTGTGCATGTTTGCTAATACTTTATTGAGTTCATTTTTGGACTAGTTTGATTGTTTTCATGTTAGGGTGTTTTACTTGGATTGAAATTTTGTGATCTGTCTGGTCTGGTAAATGTTTGATCTTTGTGTATTTTATAATTATCCGAGTTTGGTTTGGTCTGATTTGGACTTAATTGATCTAGTCTGGTCTAGTCTGTGACTGAAAACAATTCAAGTAAAAACATCCTTACTAGTAAAATTAGGCAGTTGCATAAAACAACTCATTTGGTAGGATGCATGTAAAAAATAAAATTAGAGAAAGTAGTTGAAAAATAATGTTCGTATGGGAATATTTCCTGACAAAATAAAGTGATGGTTTTTAAGGGGTGTTTGGATCTGATTCTTAAAACTGTTTCTACTTCTTCAAGGAGCAAAAACAGAAGTTGGAATGTTTGCGTAAAAGTTCAGAAGTGATTCTGGTACTCTAATTTACTCCTAGAACCAGTTTTTTAGAAGCTGTGGGAGACCAGCTTCTGAAAACTGATTCTGATTCTGCTTCTAATTTAAAAAAGAAGCATAAGCAGAATCAGTTCCAAACACCCCCTTATACTACTATTGATATATCATAATAAATCGGGGATATTGACATAAATAGAAGTAAACAAGTTTTTGAATTCTAAAATAGTATTGTTATGTGTTTTCTTCTTGAAATATGAGTTATTAGTGGCATATATGGTTGACAAATATTGTCACTAAAGGTTGTAAATACTGTCATGTTAATGTCTCTTAATGCAACTATTTGACATTAATGACTCCAAGATGATAGTAAATATGACCATGTTACTCCTATTTCGTGAAAAAATATATTGTACTCCTATATCACCTTATTGATTATGTGTTTTATTTTTTGTTGTCTCAAAATAATGTTCATTTTCCGAGCACAATCGGCTTTTTTGTAATTCATTTCAATCTGTCCTGCTTGATAAAGAGTATGACACAATTAGGGATGTTCGCCAGTTCTGTTTGATCGGTTTTCAGTTTGGTTGGTTCGATTTGATCGGTTTCAATTTTAAAAAAGGTGAAATCGTAAACCAAACCGCACTACTTGAGTCGGTTTCAGTTCGATTTCGGTTCGATTAATATCGGTCGGTTCGTGTCGGTTGCGGTCGATTTAGCATGTTTTTGTCGGTCGGATTCGGTTCGGTCTGTTTTTTACCCCAAGGTGAAACCGTAAACCGAATCGCCAATGATTAATCGGTCGATTTCGGTTTTTTGATTTTTTGTTCACCCGTAGACACAATTGATCTCACTCGAAATATAAACCTTGTTTTCATAAAGTTCACTCATTTAACTAGTTTGTATATTAAGAAAAATATGAATAGTGAATTATCTAAACAGGAGTAAAACATGCCTAAAAATCACAAATAGGGCTATGTTATTAACTTATTTTAATTTTAAATTGTCTAAATAGGATTAATCATGTTTGTTTGACAAATGTACCCCTGTACCATTTTGGACTGCCTAGCCCAACCGTCACCATCGGCCACCGACCACCACCGCCAGCCTTCGGCCTCCGGGCACCTCCTCCGGCCACCGGCCATTGCCCAGCTCAGTTTTTCTACCATTTTCACACAGGGAGACTCGCCGGAGCTCCACCGCCGCTGGCCCCGCCAAATTGTTCTGCCACCGTCTACTGCCCTGCCACCAACGTAGGGCATCATTGCCCAAGGGAATTAGGGAGGCAATTAATTAGTTGAATTAGGAGTATTGCATGTAGAAAATTAATGCTTAGTCCTATACTCCTATTTGCAAAAAATGTTTTAGTACCACTTGTACTGTTGTTGTACAATCATGTTTTCATTTAGTCCTTTTAGCCTTTTAGGGAGGGAGAGAGAATAGTGTTTGGTAGTGAACTACTACGTACATTGCGGTTAATCTTTCCTCTCTCTTTTTTTTAAATGCTTTATTAGGAGCAGGAATATAGTAGAATCTTTGCTCTCATCCAACACATAAAAACATGGAGTGAAAATTGCTCATATTAGCAAACATACGTTTGTTTTTTTCTTAGAGTTGTGTTAGATTCATTGCCTCCTAGGCTAATGCTCGTTCAGACAAATCAAATTGAACAACACATGCATTTCACAAAGCCAATCAAAACAACTCATTCATTCATTCATTTCATTCAATATATATTGACATCACTAAGATCTACTCATGCCAAGTACAATTGTAATATTTTGTACTTTAGCCTACAAATGCTGGGGTAGACCGTAGACCAAGTCTACCTAAGATTTGTTACCATTATTGTTACTATGATTATTATCATCATATTATTGTTATTGCTATTAGGATAATGATGATATATACATGATAAGGTCAAAGAGTGGTTCTCAGAATGGTAAAATATTCTTAATTTTACCCATAATAAATTAGCTAGGGCAAAATTCCTGAACCACTCTCTGAACCCATACTCGTTCCTATCATTGTCCTTATTGTTATGCACATAAGACCGAATATTTACATTTGACATATGGAGAGCAGCTTGCATAACTACATGCTTTGTCCTATTGATGCCAAAAGTTACGCCTTTCCATGGAGTAAATGGTTTGTCAAGCCGAGGTTAGCAGTGAGATCTTATCTCTGCAATTTCGAGTGCAATTAAAGAAGCAAAAGATCCAGTTAAGGAAGCCAGCTTCTGTAGGATGAGCAGCATCTGTTTCCCGTTTCTGGATAACCCTGAGCAACTCATCTGAGCTTAAACTTCCATCACCATTTGTATCAAACACATGGAAAATTATATCTATCACGTTGTCTGTGAGCGCCACCCCGCAAACCTGTATGATTTTAGTTATTCTCTTTCAGTCTCCTTAGTTGTCAGTTCAACCATACCAAACATATCAAGACACCATGGAAAGTTACCTTCACTTCTCATTTTACCGTGAATCCAGACATGTTTTGGTGGCCAATGGCATTTGTGTAAACTAAGTATCTAGGTTACAAATGCCCAATAAGTAATAATGTCAATTCTAGCCAAGATGGCTCTTTACCATATGTTGCATATTCAATTTGGAAGGGTGTAATTAGAAAAAGGTAACTAATGATCCGTGGTTTTTCTATTCAGAGTGATATAAAAAGGGCTCTACCAAAGAATGCTTACTTGAGAAGCAGCTCTTTTAAAATCAGTTCTGGTCAAAAGGCCGTTAACTTTCCCGTAACTGAAAAGTGCAACCGAAAACGGAAGCAAATGTCTGCGCAACTCCGCAAAGCTTTTGAATTCATCAAATGAGACGCCCAGATTGCACAATTGTGGGTTGTTGTCCATATGATCGACCCGTCGAAGCAATTTGCCCAAATGACTTAAATCAGCAGAGGCAACCATGGACAAGGCGAAATCCTTTGCTGATATGGCTCCTTGTGACTTGAAATCATAATGTGCAAACTCCAACCTTATCACCTGGTCAGCACATGTGATAGAAAACACCAAGGCAGGACATTATTGCAAGGAGAAGAAAGAGAAATAACATCGCGGGGGGGGGGGGGTCAGGTTGAAAAAAAGGAAAATGGAATAAACTACAAAATAAGTTTAGACATGGTCTCGTCATTACCTTCATCCCAATTCCAAAATAAGTTCTATTTTGTACAATTGTCATAAATAATGAAAAGTGCTTGTGCTTTGAATCACATTTGTTGGTTTAATTATATTTATCATATGCAGCTTGTAAGTGACTGCTTATTTGCAAATTTTGGCAAATAACATGACTTAACTTTGTTTGAGGGGCAAAAAGAGTGTTCAAACAAAAACTTAGTAATCTGTAGTACTTTGTTGAAGCCTGAAGGCAAATGATGATGCTATAAATTTCAAACTACTATACTGAAGTTACAGGTACAAGGCCAATTTGAATCATTCTGAGAGAATGGAAATACGATAGAAGCACATGTTTTCTTGCAGATTAAGAGAATATGTAAATTCACATATCTGGTAAGGAAAGAGGTCAATGATATCAGTACAAAAACAAAAAATTCATTATGATTCATTGATTCATAAATTGGAAAGGGTCTCAGAAAGGAAAACCACCCCACAAGTGTGTATGATTCTAACTATAGAATCAACAGAGAACTCCGTCATCAACATCAGAACTTCAAATGGTTACAAATTCTTATGATGGTATTCTGTTTCTTGATCTATTTTGTTCTTCGGATCTTAATCACTTTCCAAAGAACTCCATATAATAACAATCGTCCATCCCCACAAAGACAGGGCATTTGATTTTTTTGGTCAATGGTGTTGAACTTTGACCAATAATATACTTTTATACACAATGATTTATAATGTGAATATGTGATAGTTATATAAAAATGTTCTTTGTTAAAAATACTCCCATCAAGTACTAATATTCTAGTTTTCAGTAAAATATTTTGATTCAAAATATCATGCAAAATTAAACATCTATAACTAAAACAAAGTCAAATGTGGCCTATCTTTGGGGGCAAAAGGAACATCATGAAAGCAAATCATTCATCACATCATTAGAACTGCTACAAAAGTGTGGCAAGTGGTCTTAAGAGATAGTGTAGAGAGGACATACTTCTTCATGAAGATTTCTCAAAAACTGCACAAACTTATCATGTTGAAGCTGCTGCTTCCCATCTTCCCCAAATAAGTATTTTAATAGGCCTCCATTTTCGACATGACCACCTAAATTTTGCCCTGCTCGAAGTCCATCACTATGGTGGGCCCCTTGCCTATTGTGAGCTTGCATCAATGCCATCACATGTTTGAACTCTGCCAAATCTATTGCTCTGTGAAGAAATAACTAACAGAATCAAAATCTTTTGAGCCAATGGATAAAAGCCTTTATACATAAATCGAGAACCGGGTACTTTTCATAATCCAAGATAGCAGAGAAGCGACAAAAGACCACCTGACTGAGATGGAAACACACAATTGACGGATATATTTGAACTGCAAGAAACAGCCAAAAAACGCAGAGTTCCGATGACAGTATAGCAATGCAAATGACACTGAGTAGCAAAACCAATATTAAATATTTAATGTTGAGTTCCCACATTGGTTGTGTCTTGTGTAATTTAGTACTACCTCAGTCTCACTAACATCGGGACATGAGGAGGTGGTGCGGTTATTAAGAAAAGTAGGTTTATGTGGTAGATATTGAGTTGATGAAGTAAGAATAAAGAATGATTTAGAACCACACAAATTTTACCAAATTTGGTATGGGACAATTTTAGTGGGACGGATCGGAAAGGAAAGATGGGACAATCACAGGGGGATGGAGGGAGTATATAACTTTAAGATAAATCGTAAGTCGAGGATCCTTTTGGGTTGAGTTACGCCCAATTTAACATTTAAATTCGCTTCAAGTACATTGACCCTTTCCTACCAGATTTTTTTTTAGTTTTTTTTTAAATCTAAATTAAATTATAGTACGGAGTATTATAATTCACATGTAAATAAGCTTCCCAAGTTACTTTATGCACTCTAGTTAAGTAGAAATCACATCATGCAAACAATTATAGTACGGAGTATTATACAAGGTGCTACAAAAAATCAACTTCAATCTCAAAAAGAACAGTGAAGTTATATTATGCAAAAAGTGGAAATGTATACAATTCCTGAACCTATGTAGCATGTTCATGCATTGCAATTTTCAATACTTGGATTAGAAACCTACCCATTTCCATCATGATCGAACATCTTGAATGCCACTGAGAAGCTTGCTTCGGGGATACTAAGTAATGTGACAAAAAATATATACCTGTAACCAGATAAAACCTATCATCCTTTCAAGATAGAGATTCCAACCAGGAGTACAGCTAAGAAAATATATTTACAAGAATAAAAAGAATAATTATTACATACTCTTTAAAAGATATCAGGCCATCACTGTTTGTATCAAAGAGCATAAAAAACTCTGAAGGGGAACAATGCAGTTCACCAGGACCCCTTTCCCCTCTTAGATATCCATCCCTCACAAGGTTAGATTCAGATGATGGGAAAACAGGAACAACCGCTCTCATCAAATCGGCTGGTGTCATAAAAGTCATTCCATCCTTGCCACGGAAGGAAGCAAAGTACTCAAAGACCTTCAATGCCACCATTAATACAAGTGAGGCACAACAGAAACCAAGAAACTAAGATCCATGTGAATGTTACCTCTCTAAACTAGTTATAAGTCTCTGTGCTGTTTGTATATTACAAGGTACTCTGTATTTATTAAACACATAAATTCAGGTGGATAAAGCATGTACATTGCTAATACCATAAGGATCCAGACAAGATTAAAGAAAAAACAATCCATATGATGCAGAGTTTTTATTTAACATGTTTCTCAGTCTAAATTGCCCATTGCCTATAAACCTTAGCTTGTAAAAACTAGAAGAGATATTTGGTCAAAGAAAATAAAAACAGATAAGCTCGGCGGAAATAATCTGTCAAGGATATCTGGTGCACAGGAGGATCTATGTATAGGTAAGTGGGGCAAAGACCTGCCCTAAAATTTCAGAAAACAATTTTAATGTTGAGATTAATTCTTCAAACCCCCAATTTTCCTGACCTTGGAGGAATGATGCTAGGTTTTAGAGAAGCAAAAAATACAAAATATATTGGTGGTTTCCAGTTTCCCCCAAGTCAATTCGTAATATGAACGGAGTAATTAGCAGTTACTAGGCTCCATAAATAAAAACAGATAAACACAGGCATACATAAATTACCATTAGCTACGGGGTTTAGATCTTGTGGGTATGTGTTGTTGCTACATTTTTCTCCCTAAATTTGGCCCGCACTGACCTAGCCAGACGTTTGATTACAAGGTGCTAGATTTAGACAAAAAAAAACGTGAAAAAATGCACTATGTTACCTTTTCAGGAGGACTGCGCATCCTAATCCGCTTCTCGTAATTGAAAAACACTTTCCTTCTAAATGCATCTGCAAAATAAAATATTACCATACACTTTCCATGAGCAGAACTTGACCAGAAGGCCCAGAACACGCATATGATGAGCATTGATGTTCAATGCATCATTAAAATTGAAAGTGCATGAACTGGTATAGCGAACCCGGTAGCAACTAACTGATAACATACCTCCAAAGAGAAACTTGGGTCGACGATTATCGATAGAAGACTGCGGGGCAGCAGGAGCAGTAGCCGTTACAGCGGGGTCTGGTGTAGCGCAATCAGAGAAGGAAACAGACGGAGAAGATTTTGAAAAGACAACGAGAGAAAGAGCGAAGGCGGTGCTGATCCCGGAGGCCCACTTCAACAGGGATGAGGCATCGTCGGCAGTGGGATTACTGTTGAGGTCTGCGGAGGCACGGAACAATGGTTGCCGTGGAAGAGAGGTGGGTGGTCGGCGGGAATGGGAGTGAAGGAACGTGGAGCGGAGGGACGGGCGAGATCGTCGGAGGGCTGACCACCAGGCGGACATATTCTTCGTTCAGATGGGAAATGTGACGCGGAAACAGGGAGCGATTTGGATGCCTTATCAATGATGAATTGATGATAGTCATAAGATTGCGAAACAAATTTGTAAATTCACCCACCGGATGATTTAATACAGAGAGTAATTTGAAGTGTAGTAAAACAATAAAACTAATAAAGTACTTGCCCCAAATTTCGGAGTAACTATCTTTCACCTTTTGTAACTGTCGACGAGTTAAAAGAAATGAAAGTGTTTGAAATTGATTTTTTTTCTATTCCATGGCGTCTGTGGAAGGAAGTCTGGAGTCATGAGAATTGAAACTCACTCCATTGAGTTTCGAATCCGAGACCTCTCATAAGAGAGAGTGAGTCGGCGGCCAATTGGACTGGACCGCTTCCTCATTTTTCTTCCGCTTTTTTAAGAGTACAAACAGGATCATATTCAGTTTTTTAGAAGTCGGTCTTTTCCCAACTTTCACCAAATTGTTTCTAACAGTAATTTAGAGACTCAAAAGTTCTTCTGCACTTTCACCTAAACACACTAATATTTGATTCTGCATTTCTGTTCCCTGAAAGAACATAAGCAATTTTAAAAAGTAGATTCAAACACCTCCATAAGTACATTTGATTAAATTGATAAATCATAGAGATCGATGATAGAGACATATACATACGAGTAAAGGGTCAGTTTGGTCCTCGAAGTTGCAAAAAAGGGGTCAAATAAGTCCTTATATAGAAGATTCTGTCCGGACGTCCCATTTGAGGTGGTTCCTGGTAGAATTTTTTTATGAAATTTTTTGAGCATCTTATTCATTAAGTCTAGTTTACTCATACTAAATTTCAGCTAAAAATTCAATCGGGGAGACATTCAAATGAATTCTTGAAGATAAATGCGCTTTTAACGGCACAGTTATCTTCAAGAATTCATTTGAATGTCTTCCCGATTGAATTTTTATCTGAAATTTGGTATGACTAAACTAGACTTAATGAATAAGATGTTCAAAAAATTTAATCAAAAAATTCCATCGGGAGCCACCTCAAATGGCACGTCCGGACAGAATCTTCTATATAAGGACTTATTTGACCTCTTTTTTGCAACTTCGAGGACCAAACTGACCCATATACATACAAAGGGATTGTTGGACTATCGCGTCAACACTGGAAATATTGGCCTAAGATCCACAAAATTCGGAGGAATATGAGAATAAACACTTGGTCGATCACTCACACTTCTACAAAAGTTAATGGAGTTGGCGAGTTCTTGGCTTACCATACCATGTCCATCAAACCAATATCCATCATTTTAATCGATTTGTTGGTATCCCTAAATTTGACGATGTTAGTTTTTCTTATGTTTTGTAATTGTTTTTTAAAGAAGGCTTTGGTCTGGTCCTTTTACTCTTGTACTCTTTCCTCTTTCTAATAAATAGGTGAGGTGTTTTCTGACTTTCACCCCAAAAACTCTCGTGATTTTGGAAAAAATCAGGTTTAAAAAAACATTCCCAAAAACTCAGTAGCTTGTGAGGATGTTCACATTGAGCTGATCTCTCCTTACTCAGGGGATGAATAGGGTCATGCATCGGATCAGAGGGAGAAAAGGACTCCTATTTCAATAATGGAGGATCTTTGGGACTCTGATACGAATCAAGATATTTGTAACAAAGCTAGACTGGTTACAAGGGAAAATTGTTTGCCCACATAAAACTAAAACACTGAAATTGTGTTGGGCTGTACATTTTAGAGGACCAAGAGAGAAGGTTGTTTTCCCTAAAGTGTGGTATTTGGAAGTCGGATGTGCTTGTTCAAGCATCTGCCAGTCAAAATGGAGCAAGACACTAATGGAAAGGTATAAGAGGGAAACAATGTATGCATGTTTTACTTGACTACAATCACCATAGAGTAGAATGTGAAGAAGAACATGCATGTCAAATATTGAAGTCACTACAATATCATATATGTACCCCACATGTAATTTCACATGAATACACATCCAAGCTAGAAAAGAGTGAGTGGGTTGAGCTAAATCAAGGAAAAGTTAGAGGACATGAAGGTATAATATAATGTCATAGATCTTTAATTAGATGAGGTAGCAAGAATGATGTTATAACATATGGAGGCAGGTAGGTCATGTAACATCTCTTGTGGTAAATGAAGGCGCTACTAGATGTAGTGTGGTCAAAGTCAAAACACTCAACATATGTGGAGGAGTGATAACATGCTCAGGGTCCTTATGAATCCATTAAAATAATAAGGGAGGTGGAAAACGTGTGGAGGGTGAGAGAGCCCAAAAATTTGGTAGCTATATAGTGTACAACAATTATCTCATTGATATGATCATGCACATGATAAGTGTGTTTTCACTTCTAATTTCTCTTTAGATAAAATTTTATATATATTTTTGGGAAAGTTCCCGTAATAGGACTAAAACAGTTTGAAAATTCCAAAATAGGACCGTAATGTTTTTTATTCCCAAAATAGGAGTAATTACTGCCAAGTTTGGAAAATACTGTCATATTTGAAGTCTAGTACTGCCAAAACATGGCAGTAAATAGTCCTATTTTGGGAATAAAAACATGGCAGTCCTATTTTGGAATTTTCAAACCTTTTAATCCTATTTAGGGTAATATTCTCTTTAAATTACCCTAAATAGGACTAAAAGCGTTTGTATATTCTAAAATAGGACTGTCATGTTTTTATTCTCAAAATAGAACTAATTACTGCCATGTTTTGGCAGTACCAGACTTTAAAGATGGCAGTATTTTGCCAAACTTGACAGTAATTACTCCGATTTTGAGAATAAAAACATGGCAGTTCTATTTTGGAATTCTCAAACTTATTTACTCCTATTTCGGGAATTTTCCCTATATTTTTTTAGTTTGGTCCAAACTTGTTTTTTATTATCTAGCTTTAATTTGTTGTAAACATTTTTAACATGTTGGCTAGTAATAATGGAGTCAAAGAAACGTATAGATTTAATCTTATAAATTTTAAGAAACATATATATTTAATCTTATAAATTTTGGTTGTTCCCGCTTTTGGTACAATAAATTTACTCACTTGCTGATTTGGTCGGGCAACTAAAAAACTTGTCCACATTAAGGACTTTTTCAATGAAAAGTAAACTTTTTGAAAAAAAAAATTGACTTTGCGATAGAATAATCCTTAATATTGATAAATTTACAAGACCAAATATGCGTGTATAATACCATGGAATTTTAAATGGACAAGTATAAGACCAATTCTGATTTTGAACAGAAAACAAGATAAAAAATAACTGAATAGACTAAAATACAATCTCTTTTCTTCTGTCCTGCGCAAATCTGTTGATAACAATTCTGCCACAATGCGACCTTGTCCCATTCCCTTCACCTGCAGCCGCCGAAGTACGTCACCGCCCCCGTTGTCATTGACACGTGCCACCAGACTTCAGACTTGAGCAGTGAGGCAAAAGACCGTAAACAATGTGGTGACGATGAATCGGATGGGCGAAGGCAACAAATCTGAGCGGTAAACTCGAGCGGCAAAGAGGGCAAGGGGGCAGCTTAATAGTCATCAAAGAAGTGTGACCGGGGTGGCCAGGATGATATATCAGACCAACGGCAGTAGGATAACGAATAGGGTGAATGGAGTTAAACGGGCGGCAGCTAGCTAGGGTTTTGGTGAGGAAAAAGTTAAGCGTGCTTGCGCATGTAGGAACAGTCTTGGGATGGGTGACCCTGGGAAGTTTCTCACGGCGGGCACGAGTGAGGATAAATTTCGTAGTAAAGGCTTATGTTGGTTTGTGACGATAATACTTGAAGTCTGAAAAATTTAGCAGTAACAACCCTGGGCCCTGCAGGGTCGGGGTGTAAAAGAGGAGGATGGGGTGCTAAGGATGGATTGACGGGGTCATGCAAGGGCTAGGGTGAAGCAAAATGTTGGGTGAGGCATGGGAGGGGCTAAGGTGAGGCAGGGTGTGGTGCTAAGGTCAAGGCCAGGTGCGGTAGGGGTGGCGATGTCAACTGGGCTGGGTTGGCGATGACTGGTCGGGGCAGTGGCGGTGGGCGACGATGGTCACTATAAGACCGAATAATGGAAAATAGTTTAACCGGGTAACTCTAACTGATCGGTCAGGTAATTGTAACTGGTTGGATTGAGTATATATAACTGGTTGGGCGGGTAACTATAAATGGTCAACTGAGTAACTGTAAGTGGTCGTGTCAAGTAACTTTAAACCGTCATACTGGGTAATTGTAACCCTGGGAGGGGTGTAAAAGTCATATAAGTCTCTTTTTGGAAATATTTAAAATGAGTCTCATTTTTATTTATGAGTTTCGATTTGATAATATTAGTGTCGAAACCCCAAAAATATCAACAAGGTGCATCTCCTTTTAAGCGTGCTTGCGCGGGAGTAGTCTTCGGATGGGTGACCATGCGAAGTTTCTCAAGACACGCACGAGTGAGAACAAAGTGTGTGATAAAGTTTATGTTAGTTTGCGAGGACAGTACTAGAGATCTGGAAAATTTAGTAGTAGCTACCTCGGGCCGTGCAGGGTCGAGGTGTTATAGAGGTGACTGGGTGCTAAGGATGGATTGGTGGGGTCATGCAAGGGGCTAGGGTGAGGCAGGATGCTGGGTGAGGCATGGGAGAGATTGGGATGAGGCAGGGGGTTGTGCTAAGGTCAGGGGTGGCGATGGCAACTGGGCTGCATTGGTGATGACTGGATGAGGCAGCGGTGGTGGTGGGGGGGGGGGGGTGATGGTCATTGTAGGACCGAAAAATGACAAATGGTTAAATTGGGTAATTGTAACTGATCGGGTCAGATAGTTGTAGATTTGTAATTGGTCGGATCAGGTAATTGTAACTAGTTGGATTGAGTAAATGTAATTGGTTGGGCGGGTAACTATAACTGGTCAGTCGAGTAACTGTAAATGGCTGGGTCAAGTAACTTTAAATCGTCATATTGGGTGATTGTAACAATGGGGGTGTAAAAGTATATAGGTCTCTTTTTGGAAGTATTTAAAATGAGTCTCAATTTTATCCGTGAGTTTCCATTTAATAATATTAGTGTCAAAACCACAAAAAATCAAAAAAATAATAATAATTAGACAT